GTGATGATGGCTGCTATCAGAGCAGCAGCAGTAATGAAAATGATATGGAATGAATGGGAGTTAGGGTTTTGGGATTACCTCAGTCCTTTATATAGGAGTTCAATATATACCTGAAGTCCCCAAAATGCCCCGGCCGACTTAAGGGAAATGTCCAGAATACCCCGGTCGGTTCATATTCCGCCTACTTCCTAGTCAGCATCTAGATCCTTCCTGAACTTCCTTCTTATCCTTAATTCCTCTTCAATATGCTGAGGTGTGTCAAAGCTATCGGGCACCACGAGCTACAACTCCCTCAGTCGACCTGAGACATTACGTCGACTCGACTGGGTCGCACTCAACTGTTGGTAGACCCTAATACGTCTGACCATTGTCTTACCAGAAGTCGACTCACTCTAGTCGACAGGTGTACATTGACTGGGTCGGGAGCCGGGCTTGTTGACTGAGTATCATGGAACCTTACTAATAGAGTCGACTTTGCTGAAGTCGACTCGGTAATTTCAAACCGTGACGATATGAACCGTTATGAGCCAATCGCGGCAATGCCGCGGTTACTGAAACGATGCACGACAGTATGGCTATATCACAAGCCCTGAAGATGGTTTGGGGACGCTGATGCCCCTCGTGGCTAAATTCTGAAGTTGATTTAGCGGGCTTACAATAATAACCGACATCAATAATGTTCTTTCGCCAAATCCTGAAGTTGATTTGGTACGATTAATATTCCGGCAAGGCATAGCACCTACCGGCAAAAAAGTCAGACTCGACAAAACATCAAGGTAACATCATTTATTGTACAGTAATTATTTCCCGCACGTGCTCATTATATATTCGTGCATTCAGACATACATTCAGACATACATTCATACATACATTCATACATACATTCATCATATACACGCGTCATACATACATCTTGACATGAATATTTCTTCTCCAAACCCTGAAGTTGGTTTGGCAAGGCTAATGCCCTATAAGTCACATTCAAGATCATGAACATATTACCTGATCGATAAAAATAAAAAATAAATACAATACACCAAACGCTTTTGTATGTTTGAACCCCCACTGATTAAGCAAAATCAATAAGACCTTTCCCAGCTGGCAAAAATACAGAAAAAAAAATCTTCACACCGAGTTCTTCAGCTCGGTAGGGTAAAGCCTTTACTTACACCAAGTTCTTCAGCTTGGTAAGGTTGATACCCGTTCTTATATTCCTTTAAGACTCACATTGTTGAGGCGTACTATAAGACCTACCAGCTGGGACGATCATATTCCTTAAAATTATTACCAGACCGAAGACCGGATACCGAATTATCTGACCAGGCCTGGACTATTCAGAAAATCAATCACAAAATAAAAAATTGCGTCGTCTCAGTACGACATCAAAATCGCGAATCCCATAACAATATCATTGGGGCCCGAGTACTCACACAAAGCCATATCATTATCAGCATTACGGACGCGAATCCATTAAACCGCGTCATATTACACGCAAAACATGACAACTGGGTACCAAATTACCCGACTAGGCCTTCCAGGCCTCCATTTATATAGCAATCTCAAAAAGTTGACTATCCACGCAGTCGACTTCATTCTCAGAACAAAAACACGATTAGCATTAATACGTCAACACATCAGGCCAAAGCCTGAACACGAGCGATAAAGCGACTACGGGTCCCAAAGTACCCAGACGACATTCATACGTCACAGCATTCAGACATAGTATAAAGCATAAGTCAACCAAAATTGACTGTACATGCGACTTCAGAACAGTTCTATTCAGAACGTATTCTAAAGTCGGGGGCCTACTGTTGTTACCTAATTTTGGCCCTGCCTATTAAGATATTACCCGTGGATATATATATTAAATAAATATAAAATAGCAAGTTTCTCTGTCTTATTTATATTGACCGAGTACCTTGAAGACAAGACGCTCCACATCCAAAACTAATCAGAATTCAATGCCACCAGTTCAACCCAGATATCACACAGAAGCCACTTATACAGACACGTCAATTGCTGACAAGACAAATATAGTCGGAGCTATTATTTATTATTGGGCCCTGCGCGGTCATATTTATTATTGGGCCTTGCGCGGTCATATTTATTGTTGGGCCCTGCGCTGTTATGTTTTATCGTAAAAGCCCATTAGGTATACGAACCGGTATTAGCCCAAATATAATAGGGGCTAAAGGATAAGGATGAGGGGGCTTTTAATTTTTTCCTTCTTTATCTGATAAAAAGGAGGGCACCGCCCTAAAAAAAGAAACAAGGAGGATCTCTCATTTCCATTTCCAAATATAACAAGAAAGATATGATACAGCTTCTGGTTCTTTTCAATGGCTGAATTCTTGGTATTCATATTTAATTCACCAAACATTACACGAAAACCCTACCACAAAATTCACTGCAAATTCTTATTTATCTTACACTGATTATTCACGGAATAGGGGTGTACAGTTTTGTTGTTACAAAATCGCATAACAACAAATACAATCAACACGATAATTATCTTATAAGATTAACATTTACTATATAAAATTTATGTTGTCCATTTCAAACTTATATTATTTTTTCACTTTGGTTATACTTTTATGATTATTATCATTATGATACTCAAAGTACATATAGAATTATATTATTTATTATATTCAAATAATAATTATTAGCATATGATAAATTCCTCATTTATATTTTTTTTTAATTGAAATCTAAAATTTCAACTAAGAGTAAGTAATGTAACAATGAATTTATAATTATGATAAATAATATTAATTTATTTTTTATTTCAATTGTTATTTTTATATACAAAATTTATATTATTTTTTATGTTACTTGTGCAAGTGCACATATGATAACTAGTTAACTACATCTAAAAAAAAATAAATCAAATAAAAACTAGTTAATACATAAACAATCACGCCCCATGTTAATTCAAGACGATCGGTTATGGCCACAACGGGGGCAACAAGGCTCGTAGGGGACGACCCTGGGACGAGACGGTTTTTGGTGGTTCTGGTTCTCAAGTTCGGCGATGCGCAGCTGTAGGGTTCGCCGATGACGGCGGCCTCAATGCGTGGCGGGGCAGCAAGAATGATGTTGGGCACGAGGGTGCTCAATTGTTCGGATTTCACAGAGTGGTACAAGTACAGAGAACAAAGGATGCGGGATTTCGTTGGGAGTGTGTAGAAGATGAGTTACTTTGTGATATTGGGCCTCAACAGAAGCAGCCCACTTGCAATTTTTGGGTCTCTTCAGTAGCTGCGGAAAGTGGGCCTTTGCTGGGGGATTATTATGGCAGCGAATTTGGTCAATGGGTGAGTCCGTTTCGTGCCGACATTTTTACTACAACGAGGATCACATTGACGGCTCAATTTACGACGGTCCGCCTATTTTTGATGAGGAACCTCCGGTGACAGACACATATTTTTGCAATATTATGGGTCCCGCATGGGATGTTACAACGATTAAGTCTTCGAATGGGAAGCCGTCATTCACACCCGATTTTTTGAGTATTTTGGACAAAGATGGTTTTTCGGAGCTGAAGCCGATGCCCGATAACTGGTGGGTCATTTTTCGATTGCCTTTCGCGAAGTCTCCCAACAACGGGATGTTTGGCCGTTATTATGGATTTGAGGGCGGCAGACGAGGTGGTGTATTTTATTTTCATTCAGTCGTGTGGGTTTTGCGTCTGGTGGCGTGTACATGTGCCTTGATCGAGATTATGTTGACGTTCGAGGTTGTTGGAAGACTTTCAACATTTGTGTACGATCGAGGAAAATGTTGGGGGTATTCTTGTCATGGGCACGACTCCAATGGGAACGAGTCGGATTCGAGGCTGAATCCTGCTCAACCGGGGGAGAATGGTGCAGAATAATAGCTATTATTATTATTATTATTATTATTATTATTATTATTATTATTATTATTATTATTATTATTATTATTATTATTATCTCTTATTTATCTTATTGAGTTAGTTAGGATAATCTTCTATCTTGATTAGGAGAATATTTATTTCTTGTTTATCAAGTTAGAAACTCTATTTATTATCAGTGTTTGATGGAATAATCGACCAGTTGAATATGAAATAAGAAATCTTTTCTTTTGTGTTTTATCGAGAAAGTATCTCGTTTTATCTTCCCATTTGTACGCATTTCCCTACATCACCCTACGTGTAATAAATAAATTAATTTTGAGGAAATGCTACAGTTGTGTTACGGAACTATTTCATTAAGGTTTGTACTTATCATGTCACAATCGAGAATAATTAATCTAACTATTACATTAAGGTTTGTACTTATCATGTCACAATCGAGAATAATTAATCTAACTATTACAAGCCCGACGAAACGGTCTGATCCCCTTTGTTTTGAGCCTCCCGTTTTCTCTACAACAGACACGTATTCTTTTTTGTTTCCCCACTCTTTACTTGTTTATTTATTTTAGCGCTTTTTCTACTCCCTTCTCACCGCCAAATGCCATTCGCATTTATACTTCTCATTTTCTTCCCCTTTTCTCTGAGCCGATCCACCGAATTCACTCATCAGCAAATGAATGGTCCTCGGGCGGTTCGAGAAAACGGTAACTCCAATCGTCGGAGCAGCTCAAGCGTTATTGACATTTACCCACTTAGCTGCTACTACTTCGGCTCCAAAGGTTCGATCTCCTCGCAGAACGAGACAATTGCCGATCGTGTTCTGCGAATGAAAGCCAAGTATGTGTGTGTGTGTATGTGTATGCGTGTGTGCGTGTTTCTTACTGAGTAGATTGGACCCTTTTGGGTTATAACTTACAGGTATTTGCTTGTGTCTCGTTATTTGTGTTGTTTTTTCATCTGGGATTTCAGTTATGATGCACATGGGATGAGGAACTGTGTGGCTGCTGTGATTGCGGTTGGTGCTTTTTTCCATTTTGTATGGTTTTTTTACCGATTATTTTGAAATTTTTGTTCTGGGTTTTGCTGAATAAGTTATGGGAGTTCTGTGATTGGGGCAGTAAATGGGTGGTTTAATATTGATTTTTGCCTCAAATGTGTGGTCTTGCGGTGTTCGTGATTTTGATTATTTGTTGTTTCAGTGACTTGTTTTGTTACCATAGCCCATCATTAGATTTATAACTTGGATTAAGAGTTATCTGCTGCTTCAATTTCGACTGTTGATATCATTATAAACGTGTAATTCATATAGTGTTTTGGACTATGCTACCTGGACTCGGATATGGGTGGCGTATCGGGTGTGGAGATATGAGTGTCCGACTCGTCAATGGTTTAGAAATCTTGAACATTTTAGGCTAAAATGTCACACCCGACACTCATACCCACACCAGTGTCGACACAACACAACATGACACGGGTATTCTTCCTAAATAAAAGAGTCCAGGTAACATAGGTTTTGGATATGTCGGTCGAAAAAAAAAAAAGTATGTAGCTTACCATGGCGCATTTGTTTCCATATTGAAGCACTTAAGCTAAGGTGCTCTGTGATGATGGTGGTTGAGCAGATCACGAGGCTTTGCGCTATTTTACTGTGTATTTATGTTAGCAATCGGGTGGGAATAGTCTGGTTGTCCGGTGGAGTGAAATTTATTGTTGATTCACTCTCTGAATCATGATTAAATCATTTTACCCAAACGAACCCTGACAAGCTTCTCACCATTTCTAATTCGCGAATCTGACCGAATATTTAAGGTTTTGAGACTGTTGTATGAATGGAAAAGAAGAAAAAAAAAAAAAGAGAGACTGTTGTATGAATAAATACGTGAACAAAACCCGTCTATTGCAGGTAGAACTATTCAAACACCCACATCTCTTGTTGCTGCAAGAGCAGAACGCCATCTATAAACTCCCGGGTGGCCGCTCTCGACCAGGAGAAACAGGCAAGGCAGAAAAATAATGTTGAGAGTCTTTGTATCAAGTTCGGTTAGAAATCTTATCTAACTTCAAGGTTCAGAAGAATGATCATAACATTCTTGTTGTGCATCAGATATTGACTGCTTAAGACGCAAGCTCTCGAGCAAGCTATCTGTTGGTGAAGATGGTCGTGGACCTGAGTGGGAGGTATATGTATGTCGAGTCTCAATTGTTAAACGGAATTTTGTTTGGTAAACTCTGCATCTATTTTTTTT